AAAAGCATCAGAACAAAGACGAGGGAGAGTTTACACTCCATTATTTTCCAAGAACTGGATTAGCAACAGGCTAAGCTGTGGGGCGGCTGTGTGGTTGAGTGGTTAGGGGAGTCGTCCTGGAACCGGAAGGTCGCTGGTTCGATCCCCTGTCCAGCCGTCTCAGTCGTTGTATCCTTGGGCAAGACACTTCACCCACCTTGCCTACTGATGGTGGTCAGAGGGTCCGGTGGTGCCGATGCATGGCAGCCCCACCTCTGTCAGTGTGCCCCAGGGCAGCTGTGGCTACAGTGTAGTTTGCCATCATCAATGTGTGAATGTGAGTGTGAATGGGTGAATGTCTGTTAGTGTAAAGCGCTTTGGGGTCCGGAGGGACTTGAAAAGTGCTCTATGAGTTCAGTACCATTTACCATTTTACCACTGTTCAAATATCGGCATATGACATACTTCCATGCGTGGCTGTGTGATATATTCATTCTGAAGCTGAATTAAAGCAGTAGGCTAACTCGCTCATGGTAAACGTGGGTTTGTTAATAAACTGGCAGGCACAACACGACTTTTGTGAGGGAACGCAAAAGGTATTGCGAGGTAACGCAATACTTTTGCATGGGAACGCAAAAACAAAAAAAAAATCCCCCATGTCCCTGCGCGGGCTCCATAAATGTGCACTTCTCAGAAGAATTTTTTTTACAGTCCTACATGTGTCTGATCAGTGGCGTCACCAGACCTATTTTAGGGGGGCTGAAACCCCTAAAATATTTTCAAGCCTCCCCAAATAATTAGGTGTTTCTTCAATTAATAATTATTATTGTTTTACAAAAAGGTGCTGACAATTTCAATGTAACGTGGCCAGAATGAGATTAAATGAATAACCACATAACCATCATTATTAGCTCAAATCTGATCATAAATCTGTCAGTTTCCCTTCACCCCATAGTGTAAGGTGGAGAGACAGTTTTATAAAGAATTGTAATCTGATGGGTTTTATGATGCAACTCCTGTTAATCCTTCCTTGTGTCAGTCATGCTAGAGCAGATATATAAAATAAATCATTTGAGGGTCGTACATCGTTGTACAATCAATAACCTTTTTTCAGGTTATAGTTGATTTAATTTGTAGAACAATCACCGTTTACTCAGGTTTATAAAAGGTAACTTGCTCTGTGGGTTCAGTTGCTTTCTTACTACATGAGGTGCAGTTGAAAGTCCATGATAAAAGTATATGATGCAGTCAAGACTAACTACTGGTGCTGAGTGTGTAACATAATAAGTTTAATGCAATTTCTAAGTAGGATGTTCAGATAAATTCAGGTTAAATACTAGTTTTTGGTGTCTTCTACATTTATAATATATGATTTTATTAATCTTATGAATTGAGTAAAATCTTTTYAAATGGCTGGAAAAAACAGTTTTGAGTGCAGAATCAACTTTTTATCTTATTTTTTTCCTACAAAATAAGGTAAAAATGTGAGCACCTTGTTCCGTCTTCGATACGTGATGTTTTTCCAGAGCAGGAGGTAGAGATGTTTGAAAAACCCCATGATGTCCAGCAGCTACCTCACCATCCTGGATAACAAAAATGAGTCGGATTGGAAAAACAATTTCATAAAGATGGTACAACAGAGAATAAATGCTATCGATATCTTGTGTCTTAATTAGTTGATATGTTTGATTTTATTTACTTAGCCATTTCTTGTCTTGTCTTAGAAAAATGAAAAATAAAAAGAAGTTTGAGCAAATTGTATGAACTCAGATACACAAAAACTTAACATGATTAAATAAATATCAAGCTGATTAATTGTAGAAATTAAAACTATATTTGATTTAAGATAAGCTTTTTTTTATTCTAAAATGTTCATCCCTGCATTTGGACAAAAACCTCAGCGTTAAATCTTAGACTGGGTATCTGTGTATGCGTGTGTGAGTAAAAGTTACCTTTCATGCCCTTGTAATCTGCTCCACAAAGACAATCCCCTGCTTCTTCCTGAAATCCTCTTTATCCAAACAGCTTGCGTTTCTCACTCTAAGACACCTACTTTTGATCTGCCAGAGGAAGGACTTAAATAAAGTAAATAAATAAAGTAAATAAACTGCAAAATACTCAAACTAATTCCTTTAATGTGTCAGGGATGGTGGATTCATTTAGACATCAAAGCTATTTAATCCATTTATATACATATTTCAGTACATTTGTTTTAAATCTGTAATTACTGTAAATACCAATAAACATCTTTACACGCCAGGTACTTGATAAAAAATAACTACATTTGCTCAGAAACGAGGAAGAAATACAGCAAATGTGTTGTCTGTAAATGCTAGCTTCCTGACGATATAGTTGCCAAACTCTTTCCGAAAGAGACAAACACAAAAATCAATTTAAAAATGAAATATCTAGTTAATAATTACCTTGTTGTAGCACAATTATATCTTAAAACTACTCCAGGTCTGCCTCGCCCGCCAACAGTAGCCGGTAGCTCGACATTGACTTCCTAATGTTTATGACAGCAGGTGGAACCAGCGGAGTCCCGCCCATGGCTTAATCTGATTGGCCAAGGCACATCTGAAGGGGCTGACCTGAAGATGCCGGTTAGGAATCTGATTGGTCAAAATTAATGTTTTCGTAACAGAGAAGCTGCTGATTGGTCAGTCGACATGAAAGCAATGACTGGCGCACACGCTTAGCTATTGACTCAGTAGTAATAATCATTAAAAAGGTATGACGCCAATAAAATGTAAAAAGTTAGCTCTAAAATTAGTCAAAGTCACATTTTTATTTCGTTATGTATTAAATGACAGTACCAAAATTAGGCAAAAAAAAAATCAGCTATATTTCAACTCTACTTCTAAAAACGGGTTATATGAAGTAAAAAAAAAAAAAAAATTCAAATTGGAACTTGTCCTCCGTCCAGTGCTTCTCAATAAACAACAGCACAAGGATTTAATATAGATATTTTTAATGAGCATTCGTGTAAACAAATACAGTTAAAAATATCAACTTTATCATATAAGGCAGTGCATATCAGCACAGCATCAAGCACAGTTAGTAAAACAGCATGAATGAGACAGAGCACTCTCTGAAGTTTCTGATAGGCATGTGCTGATATGTATGAGGACATGATGGACACCAAGTTCTTTACAACGAAGCACACAAACCCAATCTTGATTCAAACAAGTCACCACTTCAAAAATGTTTATCTCAAACAGGAAGAACATATAAGGCTGGAAGACTGATAGGCTGCACTTCAATCAACATTGCTTACTAAAAACATGTTCCATTTGGTAATGTTTTAAAATATCTAATAAATAAACTGGAAAACTACCCATCTTTTCCTGCTATTTTAAGTATGTTCTTTTATTCCAGTGTGCTTTAAACATTATATAAAAAAAACAGTCTCATAATAAAGTATAGCAGTGACAACTGTGATAAAAAAAAAAATTGCATATTTTTTGAGGAGTTTGGCAAAAGCTTATGCAGCTTGAACTCTGTGCAGGTTTAACGTCACAATGAAGAAGGAAGTGATCAAAGAAACACCGGCTGCTCTTGTCCTGTCAGGAGTCGATACGTGGAGGCTGGCATGGTCTTCAAGTGAATCTGCCGTTGAGAAAGAAAGTCAGATTTTCAAATTAAAAGACTCTCAGCTACTACCACATCAAATTACAGCACAAGATAGCCATCTTTGTGTTGGCAAAGATTGATTACTGTGGCAGCCATATTGAATTGCACTGGCTCCAAAAGTTAATCAGCAGTAGACGTACATTAAATGAATATTTCCAGGAAGTTTCGTTAAAATCCTTCTAATGGTTCATAAGATATTTTGCTAACAGACATAGTTGACTCCAAATAGTTGATAGCAGAATTTTAAACAAAGATCTGGGGCCTCATGCATAAAGAATTGTGCAGCTTTCACACTAAAAGTTGACGTACAAACAAATTTAGAAAAGTGCGCCGCACCAAAATATTCAGATGTATAAAACTGTGCGCAGGCAGGTTCCTGCGCACCTTTCCTTTATACTTCCCAAAGAACGAGGAACTTAGCGCACATGAGATACCTCCCCTGACACACCTCCATTTAAATATGTAAAATAGATGTAAATGTGTCCAGCGTGAGAGATTCTCCTCAGATTGTCTCAGAAATGATTTTTAGATGCAGAAAAATTATTCATTAAATGCAGAATGAGTGACAAAATTGTCTATTTAAGTAGTGGGGTGTAAAAATGTGTTTGCCACTCGCAAAGGTGTGTGCGGGTGTTGGTGTGTGCGCCCGTGTGCTGTTATTTTCAGCAGTGCATGAGGCTGAGAAATATTTCCACCTTTACAAGTCTTAAGTTGATGTGAAGAAACGCGCATTTCCTGCTCTTGTAAAAAATAGAACAACGTGCCTGTCCTCCTCCACCTCATCTCGTAAAAAGCTGACGCGCGGGGGGGTACCCGGCGCATCAAAGCTGGACGCAAAAGACCACCTGACCAAGTGTCAATATGACGCGAGGGGAGTGAGAATGTGTTGGACTCGCAGCGCTGCGAGTTTCTGCCGCGGTGTGGGACTGGGAGCAGCTGATTGATCCATACGCACAACTTTACACAGCAATAAATCTATTGCGTCTTGTGGAGCTGAGGAATCATCACAGCTGAATATTCTGAATTGACAACATTTTTTTTCTCAATGAAAATTAAAAATGTTTCTTATTAAATGTTTCATTTTATTCTCCTCATCTGTGTGTGTGTGCTCCGCAGGCCATGCGCTCTGCATGTGTTTCCAACTACAACAATATAAAAATTTACAGTTTGGACTGAAGTTCTTTTGATCATTTTTAAGCTGATCTATTTTCTTGTCTGAGGTTAAATGATTTTCAGTCCCGGGGTTCAGTTTCATCATTGTTCGAGTTTAAACAATAAAAACTCAAACTAAAATAAAAATATAACACCGTGTTTAGATGCTCCTTACATCAAGAAAACACAACAGGGTCATATTTCTGTGGATTCAAGTCAGATTTGTGACTTTGTGGGTAAAAACTGTCTGCTGAAAAACTTTGCGTGGCTGCCGCACATTCTCACGGCAGGTGAAAAGTGTGTGTAAATATACGCACACTTTCACGCAACTTTGGTTTTAGTACATCCCAACGTGGACATAGAACCTGGCGCACGTAACTTTTTTATACGTACGCACCATTTATGCATGAGGCCCCTGGTGCAATCTGTAAGTATCCTGGGTATAAGATCAGTCCTGGCTACTATCACACCTACTTCTAGCCTAATATGTGTAAAATTATCTGAGTTATAGTCATTTTTGAGTTTTATTAAGGTTAGTTGGTTGTAGACGTACATCAAATTAAGATTTTCTGCTATTTTTGCCTGGTTAAATGAGATCAATAAACAAACAAACACAGATGCAGGCAAAAATAAAAATTTTGCCCTTTGCCTTGAGTGATAACTAAAACTAACACTTGATGACATGATAGGTTAAAGTWCCTGTGACATGCATATCCATGAAATACAAAAAGTCAAAGAAAATATATTTATATTTAAGAAACTTGGCATAATACATACGATTTGAACCATTATGACACATAATTGGCATACATTCTTTTGACTTTACTGAATTTACGCTAAAGTGAAACAGGAAGTGACATCAAAGGGGAACTCTTTGAGAAAGAATACTCCCTGGTTTTTGTTTATTGAAACAATATTATTTGAAATATGACTCTCATCTCTCTAAGATAGTGATTAAAATAATCTAAAGAAACATTACATTCTTCTCTACAGTCTGTGTTGTTAGCCATTTTAGCAACGTTCTGTTTACATTCAGGCATTCCCCTTTGACATCACTTCCTGTTACTTCACATGCAAATATCTCAACAACTGTTCATCTCAGCAGCATGAAATCTTTTTTTACAAAATATTATCGATGTTATCCTTCTAAAAATACATTCATATTTATTATAAAAAAATTTATTTTAAAACTTTAAAACTGAAAGTTACTCAAAAGCTAAGAAAAAAAAAGTGTCTCAGTTTGCCATAAAACTCAAATCTTTCAACTTTTACCCTCTTAAACATTTCTGTAGTGAATCWGAATATTGTTTTGTACTTTCTCACCTCTCCAACAGCGTTAGTGAGGATCTGGATGATCTTATCGTGTGGAGTGGCAACGACACTCTGCCCATTGATCTCAATGATCCGGTGCCCGACCCGGATTCCTCCTCTTTCTGCGATCCCGCCTCTCATCAGACTGCAAATCTGCAACAGGGAACAGGGAAACCTTCACAGAACGCAAACGGAGCACGGTGTGTATGTTTTTACTCGGGAAYTCAACAAACTGAACAACAATGATTCATTATCGTTTAGTTTGTTGAATTTCAGAGAAAACAGATATGCCACAGGAACGTTCTTTTCCCCAAACAAAACTTGTAATGTCATAATAATTACATTCACAGAGGTTTGTTTCTGAGGCGTTATAAGATGAGCTGAAGAGACGGGTTACGTACTATGCCRTCCTCAACGCTGAAGCCCAGCTGAAACTTGGGATCAGGTCGTCTGATGATGGCCATGGTRACCGGAGGACAGTGGACAATGCTGAGCTTCACATACTTTTGACTTTTCAGGTCCTGAGTTACAAACACATAATCAAACACAGAACATTTGATGTTTAACCTTCATTCGTGCCTATCACTCGCCTCATGCATGTCAGAGTTTCTGACCACATTCTTGCAGGATCTGTTGGCGCTCAGACTACGAGRTGTGGAAGACTGCTGGCTAACACCACACAAAATTTTACCTCATGATCCATAAAAATCCTGAAACTGAATTATAGCTATTTTTGTGTTTGCTCTGATCAGAAAGCTGTGGCGGCCATCTTGAACTGTGTTAACAGCTGAAGTTTTACACAAAGACCTCATGAGATCTGTTAGGGTTTTAAGTAAGTAACTCAGCGTTTAGGTTCTTCCACGCCAAATTTGATCCTAACTGTTGTAAAATTGCCTGAGTGAGTCGTAGAGGTAAACAGATGTATGCCCAATGACAATAATTTCAATCCATCCACTGGTTCACAAGACATTTAACAAACAGCAGAAACGAGAATGTGCACTGAGACAAAGGCAAAAATTATGATTGTTTTGTCTTCACCTTTAGTGACAAGGCTATAAAAACAGCTTCATTTTGCACAGATTATATCCAAAAACACAATAAATCAGATCCAGATTTGTTTTGTGGCTCAAAAAGCAATTAGCACTTTTCAAACCAGATAAATTAGTGCCTGGATTTTTACCAAAATGTGTTAAACGCTTTTGGTCCAGAGACGTTCACCGGCGCGAGATTGATGACATCATCAAACTGGATTATCTCAGGGAGAGCATGATCCAAACTATTGTTTGAGACAAAATGTTAAAAATAAATATGGCTTTTATTTTGTACAGACAATGTTTCCCATTGAAATGCATCTAGTGGGGTATCACAGTAAAAGCAGGCATAATGTCCCTGACAGGAGATATGTGATGTCAGCTTAATATCAATTAATATCGAAATCGAAAAGTAAGTGTTGAACAATATCTGCATATCRAATATCAGCAGAAAGTCAATATCGAGCATCTCTAGTAAAAAAAAATATATTTATTTTGACACAAATAATCAGTGGCAGCACTAATCTAAAAATTAGCTCTAAAACACTAACTCAAATATTTAGGCCCCCTAATTCTAAAGCACTAAAATATCCCAGTCAACCCATGAACATTTTTCAACAGAAACATGAGTCACATGTTACCATGTTGCTCTCTTAAGACTTATCATTGACATTTCACAGTTTGGGTTCATATATTGTCACCTGGTGGAGAAGTGACACACATATGAACAAAATGTGTGACAGCTTTAACCCTCAGCTGTTAACATTAACGTTGATCAACATTTATAGACCTCAGTTAGTGCTTCTAAATTTACCGTATAAATTTAGCAAGTGCTAATCCACTAATAAATTTTAAAATTAGAAAAAGCCCTAAAGCAYTAATCAGGAAATTAGTTCCCCTATTAGTGCTTTAGGGGAACTGTGCCCACCACTGCAAATAATGTCACATTAAAGACTTTTGTTAGCTGAGATCCAGGTGGCCACCAACAGCAACARCTGAAGCCAGATAAGACTTCCCAGATTTGTCATTGCTTTGTTTGGTTCTGGTGATATCTCATTTTTTTTGTTCCCAGCATCTTTAACAAGTATCAACTTGTTTCTTAGGGGAAGAGGGAGGACTGAACTGAGAATGCAGGAATAAAATGTTTGTACTATTCCAGTTTGTCCTAGCCACCAGTGAGATACTGAAGGCTGTAGTCAGCTGGCAGCACATGCTCCTTGATCGATGATAAAATGTGGTTGTGCGGTTCCAAGWACAGTTTTTGAAAGGATCATGAAGAGAAAAGCACGATGCTATGGTCTGCAAGGTGTCAAAACCTTCGATTTCAAAGAACGAGGTCTGTTGTTGTGTACACAAACAACCCAACTGCAGCAGAAAATCTATGGATTTAATCAAAAACATCATTGGGCCTCATGCAAGAACCGTTCGTACGCACAGATTTGTTCTTAAGTTGTGCGTAC